TCATGCGGCGATGCCTACGTGCCTTAGACATGTGGAGGAAGCCTTGGTTCTTGTCTCTGGTCCCGGTGCTGGGAGCTCCATGTCACCGCGTAACGCTAGCGACGGACACGTCCCTCACCGGTTGGGGAGCGGTCATGAGTGGCCGCTCGGCCCGTGGTCTGTGGAGCGGTCACCATCTCATGTAGCACATCAACTGCCTGGAGATGCTGGCTGTGTTTCTAGCATTGAAACACTTTCTCCCAGACCTAAGAGGTCGCCATGTGTTGGTGCGCACCGACGACACAGCGGCGGTCTATTAAATCAACCACCAGGGAGATCTGCGTTCGCGCGACCCGGTTATTTTTAGCGAATCAAAATTATAAAATGCGACCAATGTAGTATGATTGTCAAACATATGACTTGAATGTGTCGGTTCTTTTCAGTGAATCAAAAATTCAAAGCATGACCAGTGTAACCTGATCCTCAAACTAATGACTCCTATGAGCTGGTTCTTTACAGTCGATCAAAAATATAAAATGCGAGCAGTGTAGTCTGATTCTCCAACAAATAATCCTTATAAGCTGATTCTTTTTTAATGAATCAAAAAAACATAAGAGCGATCAGTGTAATCTGATTCCCTAACAAATGACTCATATGAGCCAGTTTTTTGCAGTCTGATTATCAAACAAATTACTTATATGAACTGGTTATTTTTTTGTGAATCCCAAACAAATGACTAATATGATCTAGTGTGTTTTAGTATCCTATATCAAAACATACAAAATGACCAGTGAAGTTTGATTCCTGAACAAATGGCTCTTAAGAGTTTGTTCTTTTAATAAATACTTTTTTAAAATGAGTTACCAGTTTGATCCAGTCTAATGGATACTTCACTGAACTGAATCACTCAGAGTGGTTACTAAATTTGACTTGATTTTATACTTGATATATTATACATACACAATACTCTTTTTTTTTTAATGTAATGCAGGGCTTTATCAGCTCATAGACATGCCGTTATGACAATGAACTGATGTAAATTACAACATACTGATAACCAGAGTTTCATTAAGATCACATCATTGGCTTGCAATAGAAGAAAAAGCTAAAACCAACAGCCAATTAATCAGGGACATCTGTGTCAAATGAGTTGGTAATAATGTTGATTGGTCATAAGATCAAGTCCAGTTGACAGGGGAACTAACAGCATTCCACCACAGGGGGCGCTAACACATGGCACACATGCTTTTCAGTTTGGGTCTTGGAAATAAATGACATCTTACATCTTTAATTTCAAATACATGTATAGTAATTTCTATACTAACATCAATACCTCCCTCTCACTATAAAACAAAACAAATCAAACACTGACTACAAAATAAAGGATTTTGACATCAATTACATATTCTCCTTCTTTGTCCAAGCTTGCAGTCAAAGCTTTTTGGTAAACAAACTATAGGATGCATTTGTTACAGTAGAACTTTTGTCTTTAGTGTGTCAATGAAGTGTCATTAAAGTCTCTTCCAGATGCATCTCTCTTTAAGCGTCTAGTTGTTTGAGCAATGTGACTAGCTGTCAACTCTTTTCTAACTATCTTGTTTCATATCTTGATTGTTGTTTGGAAGCTTAATTAAATCCGTTTTTTAAGAGAAGACGTTAATCCCATGTGGAGTCAGCTTTGAATAGATTCCCTCGGTTCTTTCTGCAGTGGCCTATTTGGGTCCGTGCCATTTAAGAGAGCGGGTAAACAAATAATTATCCACATTAATGTGCTGATATTCAGGCCCATCTGGAAATCATCAACAAGTACATGCCTATATTGCATCAGTCATGCAATCAAATATAATCTGGATTTTGAAGCTAGTCAAAGTGGAGGAGAACTGAAAACTATGTGTGCAGCGAGTTGAAAATAAAGAAGGCCGATGCATAAATTAGCCCGACATTTAGACTCTGAAATGAGGACACCTGGGTAAGGTGCTTTAGTTGACTGCCAATAGCTTGATGTCTCCTCAGATCGGCTTATTGTGGCCTGTCTGGTGAGAAGGAAAAATCAAGCTATCTGAGGTTAGAGTCGAGCTAACGCTGAGCAGATGTTCTTGCATGAAGATCCCAAAATTCAGCCAATATGATATTGAAATGCAAGTTCCTCATGTTTTTTTTTAGTTTTGAAATAGCTGCAATTGTGAGATGCATGCTATTGACATATACTGTAAAAAGCTGTTGAATCTGGCCTAAATTTGCTAAAAATTCAAAGAAATGGCTGCATGTGTATTTTACACATAGCCGCCTTCACGGCAGACATACGTTATTATTTAACTCTTCTGCTGTGCTTAATTTGGTGTTCCCAGTCTTTGCTTTTAAATATCTCATTATGCTGTATTATCACCAAATCTTGGATTCTATAACGCAAAGTCAGTAAGTTTTAATCCAATTTTCAGGAAAAATAAAATCTTCTCTGGGTCAAAATGACTGGAACACAACATGAGGGTTAAAATAAATAAACAGTCTCTAAATACTTATAAGATTGTATTTAATTTTACACTATGGCTTTGGATGTATTAGATGTTAATTCAGTATTCTTGTATCACTATATTCTGCATGCCGATATTGATAACTTGAGAGTGGGATGGTCAATACAAATTTTTGGGGGAAGTCGTGGCCTAATGGTTAGAGAGTTGGACTCGTAACCCAAAGGTAGCGGGTTCGAGTCTCGTACCGGCAGGGATTGTAGGTGGGGGGAGTGAATGTACAGCGCTCTCTCCCACCTTCAATACCACGACTGAGGTGCCCTTGAGCAAGGCACCGAACCCCCAACTGCTCCCCGGGCGCCGCAGCAAAAATGGCTGCCCACTGCTCCGGGTGTGTGTTCATGGTGTGTGTGTTCACTGCTGTGTGTGTGCACTTTGGATGGGTTAAATGCAGAGCACTAATTCCAAGTATGGGTCACCATACTTGGCCACATGTCACTAATTATAGCAACTGACATGAACAAGAACAAAAAAAAAATGCAATATTTTCATGAAATTGTAGAAACAAATTGTGTTTTATACATGCACAGGGCATTAGATTTTGAAACTGACTTCTGTTAATCAGCCAAATGGACATAGATATCGGCTAAATATCACTGATTTATCAGCCTTGACAATATAAAAATCTATCACTGATGATTATTTCATTATTTTTATTCTTATTTAAATGTTGTTTACATACAGTTAAAAAAGACTGTGCAAACAAAATAAATTTCAAGAAGGAAAAAAAACCCCACAAACGATGCAATTAATCAATGCCAACCAAAATGATTTGCAATGCAATGACTTCACATGCAACACCCTCTGCAGTAAAAAGTTAGTATGGACACGAAATAAGTTGCATCCAGCACTACTGTTCTATATTTAACCCCTCAGAGCTTTTGTTCTCTTTGACAGACGACATGTGGGCGGCGACCGTCGTCCTGTGACAAGCTTGCGCAGTGGAACAATTTCAGTAATGGCATGTTACATGTGCATGTGTCGCATGTAATCCCAATAACACTGAAAAGCGTGTAAACTGAAGGGTTATTCTACACAACACTTCATTATCCCCCGTCATAATGAGGTGTATCCAGAACACTTGTTTTGAAAGTTTGAGTGCCACCGGGTCAAAGTTAAACTGTGCATTATGATACTGTAATGTCTACTGTATTCATTTTAGACTAAAATATATTATCGAGTAAATCGGGTGATAAATTAGTTGCACCATAAACAGGCTATCATAACGCAGCGATCCAGGAGAACATTCAGCACAGTTTCCAACAAACATCCCAAATCCATATGAACAACTTTAAGCATTATTTTCCTCTCATACCGTTACACACACAGCTGCATGACGCGCATCGAGCCGAATGAGAACTAGAGCGCACGCTGTTTTTGCGCAAGACTAAAACACCCCAGAATGTTTCTGGAACAATTATTGCCTGGCATATTGTCAATCTAAACCCCTCTCTCCGTGTTTACCAACATTTTAAAACAGAAATAAGAAGAGCAAAGTTGATTTACACGGCACGTACCATTGTGCAGCGGGGAATATTGCCAACAGTCTCAAAGACCCATTTTACTCCTTTAGGGAAAAAAAAACTTTCCCCCGAAAAAAAGCAGCGTGGTGGGAGAGCAAAAGCAAATGAGTCGGTTTTCTCCGTTGATACCGGAAGCAGAAGAACCGGGTTGCGGGACGGGCCCGTGGATCGCGGAAAATAGCCAACTTTTTACGCACGGAATCTTTCGCGGGGATCGTTTCGGTACAAAAAAAAACAAAACAAACCCGCGCATTCGGATGAAACCGGATAAGATTCAGCACGACCGTTCCTCCGTTCTCCGAAGCTCTCCGGTACGGATCCGTCCCGGTTCCAGCGTCTCTCCGGTGGTTTGTGTCGATCGCGCCGTGCGACAGTAACTTTCTTCCTGCGCAGCTTCAGCTCACGGACTCTGGGCGAATTGGTGCTCGATCTCCAACCATCCCACTGGAGACCTCTTCAGGGTGATCTCCATGACCTCCTCCTCCTCCTCGGTGCACGGATTACTCGATCAATTATTATGGAGAGGACGTCAATTCGCGCAAAGTGGATATTGCGGAATCATAAGCGATGCGTGAAAGGAATACAGACTTTTACGTCGCTGAAACGAATAACGGCTGCGCGCTAACGTTTCAAATAACTAATTAATGTATGTTAAGTAGCCCGAGTAAGAGCAGTTGCCAAAATAAACGTGCTAGCCTTGCGTGGCCCGTGCAGAACGGTCGGGTTGATCTGTGGATGGATTCGTGCAGTGGCTGGTGAATTATTAATAACCGGGAGCGCTTCACAGTCTGTCGTGTTCACAGAGGAACCAGAACGGCAGCTGGGGGTTTAAGGGAATTAAATACGGGCTTGGAGTGAAGCAGGGACGGCAGGGGATTATAGGCTACCGTTCACCGGAGAGAGAAAGAAAGAGAGAGAGAAAGAGAGAGAGATGCAGAGATGTATGAAGTGTGTGTTTTTGTTTGCAACCACAATGTTAAATGGTGACGTCTCGAGCAATGCACGAATGCAGGTGTTTAGGGTGATATTTCTGTGTGTGTCGCTGTAAATTGTGTTATAACAGTAAAAACTAAACCCTAATCGTGCACTGGTGTGAAAGTGTTTAGTTAGCAAAAGTGAACAGGTGTAGTGCAGTTTGGTCACCGATCAATTCTGTGGAGTATTTAAACAAATATTCGTGCAACCAAATACATGATTTGCTATCGGCATCATGGGATTTAAAAGTATTAAATGAGTGTAAAATCTCAAGTGATGTTTTAGATGAGCAACAAGGTAAATTCATTTTTTTAATATAAGGTCATTTATACCCTATTTAAAATCTACTTCTAAACAACGTGAAAAAAAAAACCCCACATTGTTACGGTTAACGGTAATTTGTAAATGTGGTCGGGCTCTTTTTGTCGTCTCAGTTTTAATTAATTCAACGTGTGCCAGATGTGTCTCAAGGTAAACTCGCAAAGGTCGTCTTATTTGAGGGGATTCCGCGTTAATTACGGCTGTTTTAATTAATTCAACATACCTGGGATGTAAAACAGAAGAAAGACCTCCAAAACGACCTGGAAGAGACACGCGTTGACCTTCAGTGAAGCCCTGATGCGCGCTGTGATGCACCTGCCAACTGCATTATCAAGCAACATACATTTTCTTTTTGTCAAAATAATACATGCAAACTAAACTAAAATAAATAAATAAATAAAATGATAAATCCCCGCATATATAAAGATTGACACAAATTGTTGTGTATAAAATATGTATTTTTAGCACTCATAATTGTCCTTTTATAGATGGTAGATTTTTTTTTCTTCTATTTTTGTTTAATATTGCAATTTTATCTCTTTACAAAACAAATGCATGCGATGGTATTTCTTTTGTATCTCAAAATAGGCCTACTATGAATATGACAGAAAAATACAATGAACCAAAGCAGATAAAAGATTAAACAAAAAGCACATAAAGGAAGCAATGAAACGAAATTATCTCCAATAAATCTTCAGTAAATCACTTTGAGAAAATAAGGTATATAGGAAAAAGAAAAAAAAAGGTTCATGTTCATTAAACACGAGTTGTTTGAAACCGAATATATATATAGCACAGAACAATATCTAACAAACACAGCAAACCATGCTCTGTATATTTATTTAATCATTTTCGACTTACATTTACGTCATTTAAATTTTATTTTCTTTATCTGGCATATATTTAGCCTTTAATTTATGTTTTTACATTTCTGGAAACATGCCATAGCATATTTTCCAGTAAGCCAATAAAAGTAATCGATACTTCAAAATATTTGTTACTAATATTCGTTGGTGCATTAAAAATGAAACCAGCATCAGAAACACAAATGCGCCTCAGAGCTTTCTGAATCTCACCTTTAAAACAACATTTAAAAAATGGTTAAAACCTCACCGTATTTACAGTTCACAATACAATATAAATAATCAAATGAATGATTGACAATACTATTAATATCAATACATAAAATATATAGCCTAATATACTAAGTTCATATATATTCATCCGTTTAAAATAATATTAAACATAATAATATTATATTAAACAAATATAACTCCGTGTAGTATGAATGATTATTGCTCTTTTAATTTACTGTATTTATAGATTTAATTGATTAAATATAGGCTACGACTCTACGATGTTAAAGGTTTTGTAAGTACAAATATCAGCTCGGTGATTTATATAATCACATCTCGGGGCAAAGATGGAGAACCAACAAATGTGTTACTAATTCAGTTTAAACGAAATCATATTAAACAATGTAATTATTACATATGCTTTTATTATGCTCACGATTTCATTATTGAACTAAGGAAGAGCACGCGGGACATCATAGACTACTGGAGAAAAATTGACACCGGTCTGTGTAGAATTAAAATATAGCTAATATTTAAGCAATAACAGCAAACTTTTTAAAAATGCCATTTAAATTACGTCATTATTACGGACATAATAATACAAAAAAAAAAATCTAATGTTAAACAGTCCGCAAATGCAATGATTCACATGAGAATAGAGAATGGAGAATTTGTCTTGGATTTCTTTCTTAAAATAAATCTGAACACTAGAATGCACATGATTACAAATGCGCCTCAGAGCTTTCTGAACCTCACCTTTAAAACAACATTTAAAAAATGGTTAAAACCTCACCGTATTTACAGTTCACAATACTTCTAAATATAAATAAATCAAATGAATGATTGACAATACTATTAATATCAATACATAAAATATATAGCCTAATATACTAAGTTCATATATATTCATCCGTTTAAAATAATATTAAACATAATAATATTATATTAAACAAATATAACTCCGTGTAGTATGAGCAATTATTGCTCTTTTAATTTACTGTATTTATAGATTTAATTGATTAAATATAGGCTACGACTCTACGATGTTAAAGGTTTTGTAAGTACAAATATCAGCTCGGTGATTTATATAATCACATCTCGGGGCAAAGATGGAGAACCAACAAATGTGTTACTAATTCAGTTTAAACGAAATCATATTAAACAATGTAATTATTACATATGCTTTTATTATGCTCACGATTTCATTATTTAACTAACGAAGAGCACGCGAGACATCATAGACTACTGGAGAAAAATTGACACTGGACTGTGTAGAATTAAAATATAGCTAATATTTAAGCAATAACAGCAAACTCTTAAAAAATGCCATTTAAATTACGTCATTATTACGGACATAATAATAAAAATAAAAAAATCTAATGTTAAACAGTCCGCAAATGCAATGATTCACATGAGAATAGAGAATGGAGAATTTGTCTTGGATTTCTTTCTTAAAATAAATCTGAACACTAGAATGCACATGATTACAATTAAATAACGCGCGGGGGAAAACACCGGAATCACGAGCACTGACTGAATCATCGGCTATTGATGTTGTCATATTTTCCCAACCATTTTTGAACGGTAAGATCACAACTAAACGTTGGACGGAAGGAAGAACACACTGATGATGTGCAGGTGCATTTCGAACGGACTTTTACCGAGAAAAAAAAGCCTCAATAAGCATGACTTACAAATATATACTGTGATTATCAATGACGCACTAACAGGTGGGCTAAACATTACGTTATTGATTTTACCAACACTGCAAACGCTCAAAAAGAGAGGAAAGAAAAGGCGTTTTATTGTAATTTACCAGGGTTACAGCAACCAGATAGCTAACTAATCTTTATTAAAACCGACAATATATTTAAATTACAAAAATATTTACATTCAAATGTAAAATGTGTTATTGAATGCACGATTTCTTGTATCATTTTGGTCTAAAAAAAAAAAAAAAAAAGCGTGGAAGAAAAAAAGTAAGTTGAAAATAGTTGAATAAATGAGTTTTTTTTCTTTTGTACAGGCACACATGCACACACAATAGTCTGAGCAATATGACCCATGTGACCTTTACACCTAAAGGCCAAAAATACAAATCCTTGCAGCTGTAGTAATAATTTATGAATAATTTTTAAAAAATATATATTTATGATTAATACATTTTTAGCAAAAAATACATAAAATGTTGGTGTACAGTTCATCAAAACAGGTCAAATTTTAACACATTTTATGGTCGGATATCAGACGGTCCATATTAGCCGCACAGTTGAACGCAACTAAATTAAGACACCATAAGACTGAGGCTGAATCCATCTCAAAAATTGTTTGCCATCACACCCGATTTTTGTAAGTTCAGAAATCAACTATAATAAAAAATATATAAGCTTTACTAAAACAAATGTATAGGAAATTTCACTATAGAGCATGTTATTTAACCCTGGTTTATTTTTAAGATCTAGATGTATGATTTAAGATGAAACGTACGAACAAAAGAAAGTTTTTTAAAATGTCCTTCTTTTTTTTTTTTAAGTACTAGATAATGTCTGCTTCGTTCTTCCCTGTATGAATCACTTCAAACAGGAGGGTCATTTATTTCATGCAGTGCAGACTGAATTTAGGCTCTGCTGCCTGTTCCTTGGCTTGGCTTTAATTTCTGACTGCCTGTCTTTAATTTAGCAGGGCTACTCGGAGCTGAAAAGACAGCCATGAAGCTCAGATTCAGCTAAGCAACGGCCGGGGCCAGGAATGCTGACCTTGGCGGGTGAACCGGGCCAACGACTGAGGTAGTGCACAGCTATAATCACACATCCCTCCACCTAAAGCTAAAGAAGCATCTGAGCCATGAATATGCCTGGATTAACTGTTACACCTCCTCTCCCGTTACATCTACAGTATATTACTGTACATACACTGCCCATGTTACAGCGCATGTGTACTGCATACAGCAAGCATCTCTATTCATATTTTTCACCTTATAGACAATCAAATCCCATTGACTTTCACTTTCAAGGAGGGGTCCGGGCCGCAGAATATCAGAAAGAATTGAGGTTAAATCACTCAAAGAGCCCTAGCAACCACCTAACAATGGCCTGATAACAATGCAGAAGAGCATTGTGTGTCCATATTTTGTACACACAAGCACCACTCACAATATCTTCAGAAAATGTAAAAAGCCATTCATCATCACTATAGTGATAAATCATAATTGAACATGGAATATGGGCAGTGTAATATAAATATAGACATTGTGAATTGAAATAAAGAAAAAAAAAGAAGAAAAGCATTTGAAGGGAAAATTCTCAACATTAATTGTTTCGTATTGTATTCATATTTAACAATTCATTTAATAACTGAATCAATAATTCAATTAATTTTGAATTCTATTGAAATAATAATTTCATAGGACACTGCAAGAGAGAAAAGCAAACAAGACTCAAATACACTTCACTAATAAAATAAAATAGCGCATGTAAAGCCTGCAGCCAACATTTAAAGGCTGACTGAAAATGCTCAAATTAATTTATCATCACTATAGTGATAAATCATACTTG